GTCACTCCAGTTTCTGTCTCCATGGTCACATTGCTTCTTCCTTCTCAAAAGTCCCTCTGCCTCTCTCCTCCAAGGATACCTCTGACTAAATTTAAGGCCCATCGGGATAATCCAAGATAAGCTTCCTTTCTCAAGATCCTTCATTACATCTTTGCCATATAAGGTAATATTCACTCTTTTACTATAAGGTAGTATTCACAGAGGTTTCAAGGATAAGGACAGACATATCTTTTGGGAGGCCACCATTCAACCTCCTATACCCACTAACACTCATGAGACACGTAGCAGCAAAATTGATTAATTTACTCTTCCTTTTCTATCATTATTAGAGGTGTAAGGCAAGACCTGAAGAAAATTATTTTTATCTGAAAAATGCTTACAGCTATTGATGTAGTCAAAGAAGATTGAAGTATAGAAAGTTGCAAGCTTAGGTAGAGGATAGGACATGAGGAAGCAGGTGTAAAATTGAAGAATACGTTTAGGTATGTATTGGTGTTTTTGTTAAGAAGATACATGTAAAAGGGTCAAGTAATTTTTCAGAGTACACAATGAAAAATATAACATCCCACCCCAGATCCCTACCTCGTTTCCCAGAAGTAATCAGTATATTATTTTTCTATTTTTTTATCCTTTCAGAAAAGTCCCGTGGTAATACCCGTCTCTTCCTCACAACAGTTTTAATCCTCTAGATCATGCGAGCACAACATATTCTGTTCTGTACTTGCTTCTCTCATATTTATTCCAGAGACCTATATTTCCCTATTAATATTGTCTTTAATAACTGTAACTTCAATATATCTAATAGTGAAATCATTCTTCCCTAACACTGCTTTTTAAAGTATGTTTCAGCTAAGAAGAAAGGGTAAATGTATGTGTGTGTGCACACACACATGCATCCATATTTGTGTGTGGTGGGGAGGATGAGGTTAAGGGAAATTTACTCAGTTCTCATAGCAATAGCTCAAAGCAACTTGAAATATAATTTCTGACCAGCAGTTCCTCTGGCCATTCAGACTCCCAGATCCTATAAATGTAATGAGATTGTGCCTGAGTGGGCTATGGGGAGGTTTTCAGGCTGTTTGCTCCTTTAGTAATTAGCCAGATTTAAATTTCAAAAAGCATGTATTTAAAATTTTTACTTGTACATGTTTTATAGGAAATAACCAAAGTCTTTCTGAGGAACTACAAGAGTACAAAAGTCATCCTATCTCTGCTCAAACACCTTTGGTGACAGTGACTTCCTTACTAAATATGACAATACCATCTGTCCCCTTGCCTCCAAAAGGAAACATTAGTTTGAACATTCTGTAACTTTTTGTTCAAATGCTTAATGGAGTTGGCAGGACAAAGATCCTCCATGTGGACGCCTGTGAAAATGTGTCTTCACGGTAAGATGTGAGATATTTTACCCAGAAAGGCCATACGGCATAATGGCTCAGACTGAGGGTGCTGAACCCGACTTGGTGAGATATTATATACAGGCTCTGCATCCAGTAACTGAGTGAAGAGCGACAAGTTGTTTCATCTCTCTCTGCCTCAGATTCCCCATCTGTAAAATAGGGATAATACTACTGCCTATCTTCTAAGGATTTAATCCTAAGGATTAAATAAGTCAGTGCGCATATAGTGCTTAGAATAATGCTTGCTAAGGGTGCCTAGGTGGCTCAGTTGATTGTCTTGATTTTGGCTCAGGTAGGATCCCAGGGTTGTGAGATAGAGCCCCATGTCGGGCTCCTCATTCCCCTCCCTATCAAAGAATCCCTCAGCAAGAATAATCAATAGCCTTTTAATCCTCTAGATCAGGGATCAGCAAACTATAGCCCATTGGCCAAATCTGGCCCACTAACAGATTTTATTCAGCCCGTGAGCTAAGAATGGTTTTTACATTCTTAAATCATTGGGGGAAAAAAATCCATAGGAGAAAAATATTTTATGACACAGGAAAATTCTATGAAATTCAAATTTCAGTTTCCATAATAGTTTTATTGGAATACAGCCACGCTCCCTCGTTTACATGTTGTCTATAAATGCTTCCATTCTACATCAGCAGAGTAGTTGCAAAAGAGGACAGAAGGCCTGTAAAGCCTAAAATAGTTACTGAGTTTGCTGACCCCTACTCTGGATAATTTTGTCTCCTGAATCCGCTCCAGCTGGTCTTTACTGTACCTCAAGGTTCTCACTGCTGGGACCCTAGCGGCTGACCAGAGGAAATTACCTACAAAGAATTTTTTTTTTTCCTGTAACTTCCTCTTCAATATTATGGCTATAAAAGATGAAGTGAATGCAGTGCTATACTGTTGAACTTAATGAGATAAAAAGAAAGGAGGAAGAGAGGGAGGGACTAGAGTAGAAAGTAGGAAATGGGAATTTTTAAATGTAACTTCTAAGAAAGATAATGATAGAATATTCTAAGTTTGGATGTTCTAAGAATGCATGCTTCAATTCTGGTAATGTTATTTTTTTTTAAAAGAACAGCACAGTTTGTATTACTATTTATAAAGAAGACATAAGGATATATATTCATAAACAGATAAAATGAGGTAGTGCTATTCTTTTAAGTTTTTTTTTTTTAATAATGTCTAGACCCAGTAAGGGTCTCAAACTCACGACCCCAAGATCAAGAGTCACATGTTCTTCCGCCTGAGCAAGCCAGATACCTCAGTAGTGCTATTGTAATGTAAATTTGAATGGTGATCTTAATTTAACTCATCTTCCAATTTACACAGGAAGATTTGTTCAGTTCTTACAGAAGAAACACATCTATCTTAAGTCCTAATCATGAAATGATTCTTAAGTGGACTGGTATTTAAGAAAAATACATATGTTGTCAATGACTTTTTTTATTTTAAGAGCAGCCTGCACTGTGTTATATAACAAAGTCTTTCAGCCACTCACCTCAGCAGCCCTCCTCCCCTCCCTGCAGGTCAGTGCTAAGCCTTTCTCTGGTGCAAAAGCTGAACACCCATTTGGTCAATGGGAAATGGTGCTGCCCTTGAAGTCGTTCTGATTGTCACTAGACCATTCCTTTCATGTCCTGCCTGTCCACTGGCATGCTTTTTTATTTTTCAGCTTATTAGGGTATAATTGACAAAACTGCAATATATTTAAAGTGTACAACGTGATGATTTGACACCCATTGTGAAAGGGTTACCACAACTGAGTTAACACATTCATCACCTCACTTTTTGTGTGTGTGAGAACACTCAAGTTCCACTCTTAGCAATTTCCAATTATACAATATGGTATTATTGGCTGTAGTCACCATATTATACACTAGACCTCATTCATCTTACAACTGAATTTGTACCTTTTTACCAGCCTCTCCCCATTCCATTTTCCCTAACCTGGGAATAAATTTATGTCCTTTAAAGCAAGGCTTACTGGAGATGCTTTGAATTCACAAAGCTTTTTCACATTCATTCTATCATACCACCTTCACAGCAACCCAAAGCAAGAAAGTGAAGCTTGGAGAATTGCTCAAAATTGCATAACTAATAAGTAGTGAGGCCAAGTTTTGAACCCACATCTTTTGGCCTCAAGCCCAGGGTGCCTTTCTGAATGATTTTAGTGTTTAATGTACCAGCTGGACGGACGGACATTGCTGGCTTTGACTCTGCTTGTGGGAACTTGGATAAGTTAGTTACTCTCTCTGACTTCATGCAAATTGGAGAACATAACAAACTATCACACTAGTTGTAGTGAAGTAATGATGCCATAATGTGTGCAAAGTGCTCAGCAAGGTGCTGGACATCAGTGCTCCTTCACTGCTATTATTTGCAATACGAAATGATCAAGGTCCTTTAAGGTCTAGTTTAGAATGATAAAAATGTGAAAGGGGGGATCCATAAAAGAATTTACAAAGGATGCTTAGGCCTTGGACTCATCACCGGAGACAGGAGTTAGTGATGACAAAGGGCGAGAGACTGGGAGAGTAGTGTTGCCACTGACAATGGAAATGGAGAGGCTGACAGAGGGAGAGATGCCCTAAATCCAGGGAATGTGTGGCCTGAAGACTGGAGCTCAGATGGAGGCCATTCTTTCAGACGGTGGCTGTGTCATTCCAAGGCAGGTAGTCACTGACATTATCAGATGAGCCATCAGGTGAGGAGACACTGAGGAACAGCAGAGAACTAAGGACTGGACTTTGAAATCTGCCAACACTTGGAGTGCAGCAAGAGGCAGATAGACATGAGATGACTGAGGTCTGGATGAGCAAGGAGCATGACACACATGTCAGAAGCAAGTGGGGAGACTTACCAGGAGTAGGGGAAGTGGGGAGCAACAATTAACTTAGGCCCAGACGTCAATGAGAACAAGTCGCCCCGGTTGATAGAATGAAGGGGATAATACTTCCTACCGAATCATGACAATTTTTCCATTAGTGTCTCTCACTTCTGCTGCAGCTTACAAAAAAATGAGTCTAAGAAAGGTTGCTCGCTGTGGAGAACACAGACGTATATCGGGATGAACTCACAAGTTTGGCAGTGGAACTGCACCGACTGTAGCCTTCCTGACTCCCATTTGGGGCCTAAGAACCTTTTTCTCAGGCCTTTTCTCTCTTGGAACCTGTACCAGGCTCCATATGAACATTCCCCCCACGTTATTCTCACTTCAACCCTCAAAGGCTTTATCTCATTTTCCAAAACAGGTCATGGAGTCTTCGAGGACTTCTCCAAAGCCAAGCTCAAACAGAGGAATCGGCCCACCCCAAGGCCAGAACCACACCCGCCCCGCGCCCCTGCCCTGCCGGGTCAGGCCCCCCAGCGCGAGGCAGGGCTTCCGGGCACTAGGGGCCGTAGTCGCCGTCGCTCGAGGCGAAGTGGCCCAGCCAGCCGCGCGCTCCCCGGAAGGCTGGCGCGCACTCCCGCCTGCTCGCTAGGACTGCCGGGTGAGGCCCCAAGACCGGGCGCCAGGCCCCGGTGTCCTGGCAACAGGTAAACATTGAGCGCCCCGCCCCACGCGGCGCGCCGCGCCGGGTGTTCGTGCGCTCGGCCAGCAGGCGCCCGTGAGCCCTGTGCTCCCAGCCCGCGGGGCGTGCTCGCCGTGAGTCGCGCGGTCAGCGGCCCCCGTGCGGTGGGTGTCCAGGCTCCGCGTGGCGGCAGCTGGGTGGCTGGCTGCCCCCTGACCCCGCCGGGCTCCCCTGAGCGTCTGGGGCTCCTGAGAAGCGTGGCAAGGCCCCGGACCCGCGGAGGTTCGCTGTGGAGTGCGGAGGCAGCCCGGTGTGCGGCAGCGATGGGCGCGGGGGTGCTGCCTCCAAGTGATGCGGAGAACCGGGCTCTCTATTTCAGGATTGGGAACCCATGCCACACTCACCTGCTCAACTGAGGAATTACCATGGTAATACACGTCTTATTTAAGTATAAGAGATACCGAGGCTCTCGCCAGGTTAGTTTAATACCGTTCTGCCTCATCGAGGCACGCTTTAGCAAGATTTATTACCCGCGCCACGAGATTGGCGCCTTCGTCTCCTGTCGTTGTGGGTGGTGTCCAACCTAGTGATCTGAACACTTGGGGTATAAGGATGATGGGAAAGACGGGTTCCCCAGGTGGTCTGCGCGCGTCAAAGGGGACAGCCAAGCAGAATCAGCCTGAGCCCTCTTTTTGTGAGGTTTCGTTCTTTGGTTCTGTTGAGCCACTTTCGTAATCATATGTGTGGGCAATAAAGAGAGGCTGGTGCAGTGCTGTGAAACCCCAGGGTGCCAGTACGTGGCAACAGCGACTGGCCCATGCCCTTACCTCCTGCTGCCGCTGCCTTCTGGGGTCCCTTGCGGGATTCTTCTCTTCGGATTAAGAAGTAGAGAATGAGCCCTGGTGCGATCCAGACTGCCGGCTCTAAGGAGTGAGTCTCTCTTCCAACCCTAATTTGAGGAAAGACTTTGGAGGAAACCTTTAGCAGAGGAAATGCTTGCATTTTATGCCTGGGAAGGCTTGCAACATCCTTAAACTTTTATCTCCCCTCCAAGTCGTTGGCTCACAGAGCTCCATCTTAAGCCAAACCACTCTGAAATGTTAAACCTTATTTCCCACTTCCTACTGGATCTCTCCACCAGAGAGCATTTCCCAGCTGTGTTCAAAATCCAGCTCCTTTTTAACCGCTACCTTCTCTGAATTTTCCAATGGCATGTTGATTCTCCTGGCCTCAAACTCCTAAACATTACCGTTCATCAGCCCTCATCCAGTCATTTCGACCTGCTTCCCACCCTCTCTGCCATTGGTCAAGTCCTGCCCTCCTTACCACCTACCTGGATTCCAGCAGCAGTTCACTACCTCTGTCCCAGGGCTCTCCATCTCTTTTGGATGCCAGGTTGATGGTCCCAGAATGGCTGTGACCTTGTAACCCCCACCCCACGTCCTCAGGAATTTCTACTGTCTGCTCAACTGAGTACTGCTCAGAGTTCGGGGTAAAAAGGCCTCAACCTCTTGAGCTCTATTTGCCATATTCTCTGCTTTAACCAAAACAGAAAACACATTCCACACTGGACTCACATTCTTTTCGAAGCCTCCTGCCCCATCTCAAGCTACAGATCTACTTTTCTCCAAGATGGGCCCTCCTGCTGCCGAATTGCCCCCTAAGTATCTATGACCCTCTATGCCTCACAGAGCTTCACCTATTTCACCTTGGAAAGCCTCACTCCTCACCCCCATTTGACTGTAGTATAGAAAGGTGTTTGGTAAATCTGTGTTCCTTCTACTTCATTGCACGTAAAAGCACTAAATAGATGTCTTTTTTTTTTAATTAATTTCTTTTTTTAAATTTTTTTAACGTTTATTTATTTTTGAGAGACAGAGAGAGAGCATGAGCGGGAAAGTGTCAGAGAGAAAGGGAGACACAGAAAGCAGGCTCCAGGCTCTGAGCCACCAGCACAGAGCCCGATGCGGGGCGCAAACTGACAAACCGTGAGATCGTGACCTGAGCCAAAATCGGACGCTCAACCGACTAAGCCACCCAGGCGCCCCTAAATAGATGTCTTTTGATTTAAATTGTGTCATCCCCCGGGTTACTTCACATGGTTGGTATTGTCATTTTCTTTCAGAGCCCAGGGAACTGAAGCAAAAACGGTTCAATAAAGCCATTTAAGCTAATGGATTTCCACTGCTCCTCAGATAAAGGTTAAACACTGTAGCTTCAAAGGCCTGCAGGCCAGAGTTGCACACTGCCTACCTCTCCAGCCTAAATTCCTCTCACTTGGCGCCCCCCATCATGGTTGCTTATAGGCCAGCCACACTGACCTTTTTTGTGAGGTCCCTTCAGTTTGGCATGTGCCCTCCAACCTCAAAGTCTTTGCACAGGCTGTTTGGGAAGTCCCTGCCCCTCAGCCCACAGGCGGCTCTTCAGGAACCCTTCATGTCCCAGATTGGGTCACACCCTGCCCATCCTGTGTCATCGGAATGCCAGATAACCTGGCCTCTCCTTCACGGGAGAGGGAGTGAACGTGTTTGTAATTTCTCCCTCACTGGAGAGTAAGCCTCATGAAGACAGGAGCCCAGAACTGCAGGTCCTGCTGTTCAGTAGATATTTGTTAAATATTTGTCGAATGAACGAAGGAGCCCCTCTTAAAATTCAGAAAAGCAGCTATCTACATTTGCTTTCTAAATCCTAGGACTGTATTACATCTGAGTTGCAATTTATTCACTCGGCAAGTATCTGTTCGTCCCAGACATTGGTCTAGGCCCTGGGAATTCAAGTGGTGACCTCATAGACAAACCTCTGGTTAGGAGACAAACAATAAATAAACAAAATAGCCCTATGACATAGTGGAGTGTGCTTGGGGTAGGGAGCTAGAAAGTGACAGTGCTGAGAGGGAGGCTGGGAACCACCTGTATCCCCTCCCTGCTTGCCTTGGACAGTCCCAGTTTATGTTTGTTGAAGTATCTTGGTTTGGGCAAGAAATTATATGGTCACCCTAGTTATAGATAGAATATAGATACAGTATCTGAGAGGTTTTTCTAGAGAGGTGATATCTGAGCAGAGCCCCACATGAAGGGAAGTAACAGGGTGGGATCAGGGGGATCAGGGAGGAGCGGGGCAGGTTAGGGAACCAAAAGGAGGGCAGTGTGGCTGGAGCCAAGTGGTCTTCATTAAGCAGTTTGGAGAGTTTCAAGTCATGAGTTATGTGTTCTGCGACTGGGAACAACCAAGGGCCACGGAGTTGTATTAAGCCAACCCAACCAGCTGAGAAACTGAAAGTTTTCACTCGCTTACAATAATTTCTTAACAGATTTACTGAGGTATAAGTGATGCACAGTGAATTGCACATATTTTAATGTACAATTTGATCAGTTTGGCATCTGTCGCTCCCATCGAGCCATCACCACAATCAAGATGACAAGCATGTTGATCACCCCCGAAAGTCTCCTTGTGCTCCTCTATAATCAGCCCTTTACTCATTTAAAAAAAAAAAAAAATTCATTTATTTATTTTGAGAGAGATAAAGCCAGAGAGGGGCAGAGAGAGAGGGAGAGAGAGAGAATCCCAAGCACTGACAGTGCAGAGCCCTATGGTGGGCTCAATCCCACGACCATGAGATTATGACCTGAGCCAAAATCGAGTCGGATGCTCAACTGATTGAGCCACCCAGACGCCCCCAATTTTTAAAAAAAATTTTCATGTTTATTTATTTTTGAGAGAGAGAGCATGAGCAGGGGAGGGGCAGAGAGAGAGGGAGACACAGAATCCAAAGCAGGTTCCAGCCTCTGAGCTGTCAGCACAGAGCCTGGTGCAGGGCTTGAACTCACAAACCATGAGATCATGACCTTGAGCTGAAGTCGGACACTTAACCAACTGAGCCACGCAGGCACCCACCAGGATTTTATTTTTTAAGTAATACCTATACCCAACGTGGGGCTTGAACCCCCAACTCTGAGATCAAGAGTCAAACACTCCACCGACTGAGCCAATCAATTCCTTTTAAATTCACTCATGTTGTAGCATGCGTCAATGGTTAATCCTTTTTATTGCTGGGTGGTACTCCAGTGTATGGTTATACCCAGTTTGTTTATCCATTCACTCACTAATGGACTTCTGAGCTGTGTTCAGTTTTTAGCTATCATAGATAAAGTTACTATGTACATTCCATGTACAAGTCTTAGAATGGATATGCACTTTGATTTCTTTCGGTAAATACTTCACAGTGGAATGCCTGGATCCATTCCATCCATCCGTGGCTGGATGAGCGTGTACTGATATCTCATTGGGGTTTTAATTGCATTTCCCTAGTGACTTAGTGTTGAGTACCTTTTCGTGTGTTTATCAGCCATTTGTATATCTTCTTTGGGGAAGTGTCTGTTCAGATCTGTTGGCCATGTTTTGGGGCTGTTTTTTTTTGTTTGTTTGTTTTTTTACTGTGTTTCGCGAGTCCTTTATTCTGGATGTAAGGGCTTGATCAGATATATGATTTGCAAATATTTTCTCCCAGTCTGTGGCTTAGCTTTTCATTTTGTTAACAATATCGTTTGAAGAACACAAGTTTTTAATTTTGATGGTGACTCTATCAATTTGTTCTTCTATGGATCGTGCTTCGGTGTCATATCCAGGAAATTTTTGCCTAACCAAAGGTCATAAAGGTTTTCCCCTGAACTTTCTTCTAGGACATTTTGCTTTTTGGTTTTAAGTGTATGAGCCATTTTGAGTTAATTTTTGTATATGGTAAAAACATTGGATTAAGGTTCTTTTTTTTTTTTTTTTTTTTTTTTGCAAATGGATATTCATTGTTCCAGCCCCACTTGTGGAAAAAATTATTGTTGTGGGATCATTGAGCACGACGGTCAAGAAAGAATTCTTGAGACATTTTAGGTGCAACTTAGTAAGTTTACTTAAGTAGCATGGGAACACGACCCTTAGGCAGGAAGAGCTGCGCTTTTCCTGAATGAAGTTGGTGGTTATATGCTTAGTGCTCCAACGGGAGGCTATGTGCAGAGAGTATTAGATCGTAAATGTTTTCTTCAAATTCTACGTGTAAAACTACTTTCGCAAGATTTCTCTTGTGTGCATCATTCAGCTTGATATTAACTTTTGGTGAGATTCCCAGGCAGTCATGAGACCCTTTAAAAATGTAGCAACCATTAAAAAAAAAAGAATAGAGCAACCAGTGTGTATTTGATCCTTATCAGAACTATGCAGGCTATAGGTCAGCCTTCTGGGCTAAAGAACATTTTTCTGCATCTGTCTCTCATCAATTGTCCTTGTCCTATTGAATTGCTTTCGCACTTTTGTTGAAAACTAGTTGTTCATATACGTGTGGACCTATTTTTGGTCTCTTCATTATTTTCCATTGATCTATGTGTCTGTCTTGACACTAATCCCATACTGTCTGGATACTGTAGCTTTATAATAATTCTTGAAACAAGGTAGAATTAGTCCTTCAGCTTTGTTTTTTCAAAGTCCTTTGCGTTTCCATATGAATCTTAGAGTCAGTTAGCCAATTTCTACAGAGAGATGAGAACTTTGAATGAACATCTCAAACCTTTGTGCGAGTTTTAGTCATCAAACCACTTTAGAGATTAAAACACATTTTTTTTGTCAGTTATTCCAGGTAAGTCGTATGGTTGACATGCAAAAAAGTGTAAAATCATCAAGAAAGCCAAGACTCAGAATTTTAAGAGCTTATGGCAACGTGCATCCTACACCCCCAGGGAGTGTTTTACCAAGAGGTACTGTTATCATATGGGTTTTCATATTGTTGTTGTTGTTGTTGTTTTAATCTGGATTTCCACCTGAAAGCCAGGCCACTGTGTTGCAAGATACTTCTCATCTTCGTTCCTGGGTTTTCTATCTAGGAGTGTATTCCGTTTCACTTAACAAAAATGTATTTTAGTGTTTTTTAACACATTGCCTGTGTTCCTCCTTGTTTAGCCTGGGACATTTTTAGAGTGAGATGCTATCAACATAACATCTATTTTATACAAACATTTAGCCCTTGCGGATGTTCCTGATAACTTACACTCTCCCTTCCCTTGCCTAGAAGAGTCACTTTCTAAATAATATACTTCCTCCTGTTCTTTTATGTATGGGTGGGCCATAGGACATGAGGAGTCTACTCAGCTTTGTGTGCCTGTCGCAAAACTTCAGACAGTTTATTCCCAGATTAGGATGAGATCCATTCCTCTTCCCAAAAGGCACCGGCCTGGCAGTGTAGTCATGCCAAGAACACAGGTGCTGGGCTGCTGGACACTGGTTTGCAGTGTGGCCTTGTTGAGCCTCCACTTTTCCACTTTGAAGACATAAATAATGTCTCTCTCCGTCAAAATACAGCTCAGGGGGTTAGTGGTGATAAAGTGATGGGAACAATCACTTATTGTTTCCTTGAAGTCAGACGCTGCGTTAAGCGCCTTACATTCATGTCTCTGCCCTCACGACTACTTAATGAGGTCGAGACTACAACATAAGAAATGCCAAGCAAAATGTGTGTTTGCGTCCCGATTAGCTAATACTTTTAATTACATTTTTTTTCAACGTTTATTTATTTGTGGGAGAGAGAGAGACAGAGCATGAACGGGGGAGGGGCAGAGAGAGAGGGAGACACAGAATCGGAAACAGGCTCCAGGCTCTGAGCCATCAGCCCAGAGCCCGACACGGGGCTCAAACTCACGGACCGCAAGATTGTGACCTGGCTGAAGTCGGACACTTAACCGACTGCGCCACCCAGGCACCCCTTAATTACATTTTTATCACGAAAGATTGTATGCATACACAAAAATAGAATAGTAAAGTGATTCCCCACATATCCATTTCTCGGACTCAAAAACTGTCAGGATTTTGCCACATTGGCTTCATCTGGCCTTCTGTGGGGTGGGGTGCAAGGGGGAGCTGCAGTATTTTTATTTTAAAAAGGTTGTTTTTTAATGTTTATTTTTGAGAGAGAGAGAGAGAGCGCGCGCGAGTGAGCAAGCAGGGGAAGGGCAGAGAGAGAGGGAGACAGAATCCCAAGCAGGCTCTGTACTGTCAGCACAGAGCCTGACGCAGGGCTCGAACCCAGAAACCATGAGATCATGGCCTGAGCCGAAACCAAGAACTGGATGCTTAACTCACTGAGCCACCTGGGCGACCCGGGAGCTGCAGTATTTTAAAGCACATCTGAGGCCTTCTTTCATTTCATTTCCACAGATTTTAGTGTGCATCACTGAAATGTGTAAACATTTTCTTCCATGACCCAATAGAAGCCATTATCACACCTAACAGAATTAATAATTCCTTGAGATTACCAAATTTCCCTGACTGCCTAAAAATGTCTTTTTATAATTTGTTCAAATCAATGCAGACAAGGGCCACCTGTTTGTTACATTCGGTTGGGTCTCTTTTTTTTTTTTTCAACGTTTTTATTTATTTTTGGGACAGAGAGAGACAGAGCATGAACGGGGGCGGGGCAGAGAGAGAGGGAGACACAGAATCGGAAACAGGCTCCGAGCCACCAGCCCAGAGCCCGACGCGGGGCTCGAACTCCCGGACCGCGAGATCGTGACCTGGCTGAAGTCGGACGCTTAACCGACTGCGCCACCCAGGCGCCCCGGGTTGGGTCTCTTTTTAATCCCGGTGCTTCACTTGTTGAATTCGATTGCATGTGACTTCTCCCCCCACTCCCAGCAAAAGTCTTTATTATTGTTACAGTTTTTTCCTTTCATGAGTCCCCACCCCCCCGCTTTCAGTTCAATAAGAAATGTTGAAAGTTATGTCAAGGTTGTAAAAACTAATTTATGCCCTGTGAATATACTTGTCTTTGAAAGCCAGGTAAAGGGAAACAAGGAAAAGGCCCGGACAAATCTCGCGGGAAGAAACAGAAGAAACCGGAAGTGGACATTCTCAGCCCAGCTGCCATGCTGAACCTCTACTACATCGCCCACAACGTTGCCGACTGCCTGCACCTGCGAGGCTTCCGTTGGCCCGGTGCTCCCAAATCAAAGGGGAAAAACAAGACTTAATGGCGTTCCACAGAGAGCAGAACTTGGGGAAGAGAAATCGGGAAAATACAACTACTGGAAGCAAAATAGACTTTACTGAAGACAACTTGAGACGCAAGCTAAGTGTGCTTTTCTATGGTAGTTAATGATAAAGAAGTGCATTTGACTTCCCAGCTAAATGCAGCTACAGGAAGCCAATTTGGTTTTTCAGAAGAAGTTAAGGGGGAAAAAAGTCCGAGTAGTTCCTACTCAGGAATTGCGTGGTGGAATTGATAGGATTTTTCAAATTATAATTCTGGGTCAGAATTAAACCTGTTCTCAAAAGGCAGTTCTGGCTCACATGAATTGTTTTCTTTTGCCAAATGGTTTGTTATTTAGAAAAGGCGTGGCAAAAAGCAGAGGATTTGCTTATGAACATCCCTCTCGTGGGCACTCTTTCCCCATCTTTTTCAGGAAAAGTAATAAATACTTCGTTTCTATAATTTTCTTCTCAGCCGTCTGACTTTTGGCTGATTTTAATTAGCCAGGGGCACTGGTGGAGACTAAGATTGTCACCCCCCTGCTCTGACTTTGCTAGGACATGTAAACAAATGACTCAAAGGAGCGTGTTCCAGGGTGGGGAGACTGAGCAAATCTCTCCCTTCTTTCTGTTTCACTGGACTCTTCACCAGGTTTTCCTCCACACTTACATCTTCTTTCCACTTTCTGCAGGCTTTCTTTTAAACTTGGCTGACCCTAATTATGGAATTGGTGCTAGAAACTTGCCATGGGCATTTTGCTGATATTCCACAACCTCCCCAGGCTGTGCTGAGACACTTAAGAGATAAAACTACGGTTCTTTCTCTTCAGTCCAAAAGGCCCCAAAGCCCCAAATCTGAAACTTGGAAGGAAAGGCATTTTTAAGTATAAACACCATCCCCAAATCACTTAGCATTCCTTCCCTGCTTCTGCTCTGTCTTCCTGGCAGGTCGTGTCACTTCCCCCTACGCTGACACCTGCACTGTGGTCTCCAGTCACAGCTGTGAGCCCGAAGCCGATTCCTCTAAGGCAGCACCTGTCCAGGGATGATCTAGTTCATCTGAATTGCTTATAATGGTTCCACAGGTTGCCTTGTGAGGATCTCAAAGACTCATAAAGTTTGCTAAGGAAGGCTGCAACCTAGGACTCAGGATTTCATAAATATCAGAGAAAAAGGCAAATTCACGTGAAACCTTGCACCAGAGAAGTTGGGTGTGTTTATTGGAAATAGCACTGGTCTAGCTGCCCCGTATGTGCTGACTCTGCGTGAGACCTTGGCTAGTTGTCAGAGGGGCCCTTGCTTGCTCCGGCGAAGGTTGGTGCTGCTGTTCACCTGAAGGGGGGCCTCTCAGTCCTCTGTTGACAGGCTTCAGAAAGGGAACACCTTCCCACTCTCCTAGACACTGCTGGGATGGATCCAAGTGGTTTATGTTTATGATCACACTAACCCCGTTTCAGTCCTTCTCAAACTTGAGCGTGTGCATCATGGTCACCTGGGGGACATGTCGGAGTCCAGACCCCTGGGCCCTGCTCTGCGGAAGGGTGGGGTCGGGAATTTGCATTCCCTCTAAACCCCCCCCCCCCCCACCCGGTAGTGCTGCTGCCGGACCACAGCCTTGGAGAAGCACTGCTCTAGTTAAGGCTGCCTAACCAGGTGCTAAAAGGCTAGTTGAGTCTTTAAGCTTGTAGGATGTCTAATGCCCTTCTGTGCCTCGCTTGGTTCAGGAGCTCGGATCTGAGCAGTGTATGTTTATTGGAAGGCTAGGGAGGTGGCACTTGCAGAGCTTTTTTCTGATCTTGTCCCCAGCATAGATGACATCATTTAGGGGACTACAAAGACATGCCAGGCAGCAGACATTGAAAGGCTAAGGAGATCATCTGGAAGTGGAAACGCTTTCTTTTGAGATAAATGATGAGCAGAAAGCCTAGTAAGCGTTGGACTAGAGGAAGCGCTAATCTGATTGGATCGGGCACGGTTGACACCTAGTGAAGGAGGCTGATGCACAGGTTCCATCATGAGGAGGGCAGTTAGTCTCTGGTTCACCTCTGATGATGTGCCCACCTGGTCAGGCCGGCTGCTGATGCCGTGTCCTCCCTCTGCACTCCACCCATCTCTGCCTCCTGAGTTCTGCTTCCTGTAGGTTTCTGCTTTTCCCCAACTTCAGCTTGTTGGGACCCCTGTGGGTCCCGTTGTAGCTTGTGGTCTCTTACTGTGCTTCCTTCGAGCGTCGGCTTCCTACGTGCTTCATTCTCTGGGTCTTACAGGACAGACTCTGATGGACCCACCTGGTCTTACAAGAGACCAGGCGCTGTCATAGCAGCCAGTGGATGAGCTGTTGGGGGGTCAGGGGCCTCCCACTGGTCCAACCAGCTGTGCCTGAGGGATAGGACTGGTATTATTGGTCAGGTATTACTAAACATGGACACCCAAGATGACTCTTAATGGGATGGGGGGGTGGGTATTAGTGTGGTTGACAGGAGTGCTTTCTTTCCTTCTGGCTGTAATTCATCCCTTCTCAGACAAGATCCTGGAAAGAATTTGCCTCTGCGTTTTTCTTCACTTCCTCACCTTTCTGTCACACATTCTTCCTCTCACCTTTTTTTTAAACACCATTTTTGTATTTTTTAAAATCCCAAGCCTATAGAAAGGTTGAAAGAAAGTACAATGAACACACAGACCCTTTACCTAGACCAGGATTCTCAATCTTGGCACCATTAACATTTGGGGCTGGATAACTCGTTACTGTGGGAACCTGTCCACTGCATTGTGGGATGTTCATTCCTGACCTCTCCCACTGGATGCTGGTAGCATCCCGTCAACTGAGGCAACCAAAAATATCTCAGACATCACCAAATATCCTTTGGGACACAAAATAGCTCCCAGTTGGGGCACCTGGGTGGCTCAGTCGGTTAAGCGTCTGACTTCGGCTCAGGTCATGATCTCACTGTCCGTGGGTTCGAGCCCCGTGTCGGGCTCTGTGCTGACTGCTCAGAGCCTGGAGCCTGTTTCAGATTCTGTGTCTCCCTCTCTCTCTGAGCCTCCCCCGTTCATGCTCTGTCTCTCTCTGTCTCAAAAATAAATAAAAATGTTAAAAAAAATTAAAACAAAACAAAACAGCTCCCAGTTGAGAACCATTGAGATTCAGGAACTAACATTTTGTCATATTTGCACATGCACACGTACTGTGTATATACATGTACCCATATGTAAATGTGTATATGTTATCTACATGTATAATACAAATATATGTATATACATGTAAACACCCATATATGTATGTATATTTTTTCTACATACATATAATCATAGTGAGCAAATGTGGCAAAATATTAATTTGTGGATCTCTATAATATGTATATTATACAAGTATATGTATTATGTATGCATATATGTGTACTTATGCAAATGTGGCAACATGTTAAAATGTATATTCCATACACATAAATATATATATATATGCACACTTTTTTCTGAAACATTTCTATTTTATTTTTTTATTTTTTTATTTTTTTATTTTTTTAAATTTACATCCAAGTTAGTTAGCATGCATGTAGTGCAGCAATGATTTAAGGAGTAGATTCCTTAATGCCCCTTACCCATTTAGCCCATCCCCCCTCCCACAACCCCTCCAGTAACCCTCTGTTTGTTCTCCATATTTAGGAGTCTCTTATGTTTTGTCCCCCTCCCTGTTTTTATATTATTTTTGTTTCCCTTCCCTTATGTTCATCTGTTTTGTATCTTAAAGTCCCCATATGAATGAAGTAATATGATATTTGTCTTTCTCTGACTGACTAATTTCACTTAGCGTAATACCCTCCAGTTCTATCCACGTAGTTGCAAATGGCAAGATTTCATTCTTTTTGATTGCCGAGTAATACTCCATTATATATATACCACATCTTCTTTATCCATTCATCCATCGATAGACATTTGGGCTCTTTCCATACTTTGGCTATTGTTGATAGTGCTGCTATAAACATAGGGGTGCCCCTTTGAAACAGCATCCTTGTATCCCTTGGATAAATACCTAGTAGTGCAACTGCTAGGTCGTAGGGTAGAACTATTTTTAATTTTTTGAGGAGTCTCCATAGTGTTTTCTAGAGTAGCTGCACCAGTTTGCATTCCCACTAGCAGTGCAAAAGAGATCCTCTTTCTCTGCATCCTCGCCAATATCTGTCGTTGCCCGAGTTGTTAATGTTAGCCATTCTGACAAGTGTGAGGTGGTATCTTATTGTGGTTTTGATTTATATTTCCCTGATGATGAGGGATGTTGAGCATTTTTTCATGTGCCGGTTGGCCATCCAGATGTCTTCTTTGGAGAAGTGTCTATTCATGTCTTTTGCCCATTTCTTCACTGGATTATTTGTTTTTTGGGTATTGAGTTTGATAAGTTCTTTATAGATTTTGGATACTAATCCTTTATCTGATGTGTCATTTGCAAATATCTTCTCCCATTCTGTCCGTTGCCTTTTAGTTTTGCTGATTGTTTCCTTCGCCGTGCAGAAGCTTTTTATTTTGATGAGGTCCCAATAGTTCATTTTCGCTTTTGTTTCCCTTGCCTCTGGAGACGTGTTGAGTAAGAAGTTGCTGCGGCCAAGGTCAAAGAGGTTTTTGCCTGCTTTCTCCTCCAGGATTTTGATGGCTTCCTGTCTTATGTTTAGGTCTTTCATCCATTTTGAGTTTATTTTTGTGTATGGTGTGAGAAAGTGGTCCAGGTTCATTTTTCTGCATGTCACTGTCCAGTTTTCCCAGCACCACTTGCTGAAAGACTATCTTTATTCCATTGGATATTCTTTCCTGCTTTGTCAAAGATGAATTGGCCATACGTTTGTGGGTCCATTTCTGGGTTCTGGGTTCTCTATTCTGTTCCAGTGATCTTGAGTGTCTGTTTTTGTGCCAGTGCCATACTGTCTTGATGATTACAGCTTTGTAATACAGCTTGAAGTCCACTGAAACATTTCAAAGTAAGTTGCATACATCATTACTCTTCCTCCTAAGTACTTCAGCTCCTTGGACAAGGATGTTCCAGTATATAACCACAATGAGATTATCATGGTCAAGAAACTTAGATCAATACAACATGCTCTTATAGCCTATATTCATTTTTTTCCTAACCATCCCACTAATATTCTTTATGGATTTTTGGTCAGCAATATCTCTGTCATGGTAATGTAGTTGTTGTGTCTCTATAGTCTCTGTTAATCTGAAAAAGTTCCCCACTTTTTTTTTTTCGTCTTTTATGATGTTGACATTTTTGAAAAGTCCAGACCCAGTTGTTTTTTTGGGATGTCCTCTCTTTTCAACCTACT